CATATAAAAACTGGAAAGGAATAGACCCTGAAAAGAATGGGACTGTATTTGGTGATATTAACATTAAACAGCTCTTTGCAAGGGGCTGTTTTCAAGCATAGAGCCTTGGTCTTAACTGGCTTTAGAATGGCTGTCAGGAAGCCCTCAAGTTTGCATATATGTGAATAACCGTCCATATCCTGGGCCAAACCTAAATACATGTATGGAACAGAAACTCCCAGGAGCTTGACAGGAAACAATAGCTGGAAGGCAAAAATAATTAACAGAAAGTTCATCTGTTGCTCACCACAGGGGAACAACATCAACCATTAAAATATTGGAGTGGTTGTAACATCAAAGTAAACTACAGGACAAGAAATATTAAAAGGGATCATTTATAATGATTAAAAATAAGGTGTTCATCATCTTCTCCATCAAGAAGACATAACAATTCTCAGGGCGCCTGGGTGGCTCAGTCAGTTGGGCATCCTACTTAGGCTCAGGTCAGGATCTCAGTTTGTGAGTTCAAGCCCCACTTCGGGCTCTGTGCTGAGCTCAGAGCCTGGAGCCTGCTTCAGATTCTGTGTCTCCCTCTGTCTCTGCCCCTCCCCAGCTCCTGCTGTGTCTCTTTCTCTCTCAAAGTTAAATAAAAACATTAAAAAAAAAAAAAAAAAAGAAGAAGAAGACAGTGTAACAATTCTGGATGTGTATATAACTAATAATAGAGCTACTAAGTACATGAAGCAAAACTGGCCTAACTGAAAGGAGAAATAAACAAATCTACCATGGTAGTTGGAGATTTCAACATTCCTTTCAGTAATTAGAAGAAGGAGCTAGAAAATCAGCAAGGATACAGGAGACTTGAACAACACTATCAACTAATTTTACCTTAATTGGCATTTAAAGAAGACTCTACCCTACAAGAGTATAGAGTATTTGTTCTTTTAAAGTACACACAGAATGTTCAGCATAAACCAGTGTCAAGTTAGTTTAAAAGTATTGATATCAGTCTGAGTATGTTCTCTGACCATCAGAATTAAATTAAAAATCAATTAACAGATACCTGAAAAATCCCCCAATATTTGGAAACTAAATTATTTAAACACAACAATCTGTGGCTGCCTTAAAACACACACACACACAACTTTATGGCAAAAGCTATTTATTATCTCTCACCATTCTGGGTGTTGACTATGCATTTCTTTTGCAGGTTTTTCCTGAGATTACTCAAGGAGCTGCATACATCTTAGAGGGTCTGCTAGAGGGCTAGGCCTTTTTTCCAAATGGTCTTTCATCCTCAATTATGCTAAACTGGGCTTCCTTACATGATGGAGATACATTCCAAGAAATCAACTTTACTTGTACTTATCAAATCTCTGCATCAAATTTGCATATGTTCCATCAAAGCAGATCACATGGATAAGCCCGGAATCAATGCGAGAGGGGACTACTTGGATAGCAAGAGGCATGATTCATTGGGAATAACAGTTTACCAAAATCGATGGGACTTTGGTTAAATCATTTTTCTCATCTATAATGGAGTTTATGATATCCATCCTCAGAATTGTTGTGTGGATTGAATGAAATGGTATAATCCTATGTGATAAAAGTTGTTTAGAGTGTTTTTAAGAAACCAAAGGTAATTTAGAATGGCAAATACTACCATCTACCATTATTCATTTCCTACACATGCCAGGCATTGTCCTAAATAGTAGAGTTGCAACAGACACAGTCCTTACCTTAGAGAAATGATATTTTGAAGGTAAAGTAACTAAGCCCATATTAGATTTACAGACTTTATAACTTTATCCACATGTCAAGCCGAAAAGTTTTATAAACTCAACTGTGGCTTGACATTTGGATGTGCTTATGTTAAATTTTATATTAAAATCAGTTAATTGACATTGTTAATACACCAAGATTATGTATCTATAAGATACATCTATAAGATGTGGTTTTTCAAAGCATCATTTTAAAAAAACTCTACCTCTTGGGGCGTTTGGGTGGCTCGTCAGTTAAGCTTTCAGCTCTTGATTTCAGCTCAGGTCATGATCTCACCGTTCTTGAGATCAAGCCTCACGTCTTGAGATTAGATTCTCTCCCTCTCTTTCTGCCCTTTCTGCACTCAACATATGCATGCTTTCTCTCAAAAAATTAATAATTAAAAAAAATTTTGAAGTAAAGTGAAAGACAACACACAGGATGGGAAAAAATAATCTGCAAATCATGTATCTGATGAGGGACTTTTATCTAGAATACATGAAAACTTACAATAAAGACAAAGACAAGGGGTACCTGGGTGGCTCAGTCAGTTGAGTGACCGACTCTTGATTTTGGTTCAGGTCATGATCTCACTGTTGTGAGATTGAGCCCCATGTTGGGTTCCATGATGAGTGTAGAGCCTGCTTGGGATTCTCTCTCTCTCTCTGTCTCTCTCTCTCTCTTTCCCTCTCTCTGCCCCTCTCCCCCACTTGTACTCTCTAAATAAATAAATAAATATTTTTTAAAGGACAAAGACAAAAGAAAACAGCAACAGTTCATTTTAAAAATGGGCAAAAGGTCTGAATAGACAGACATTTCTCCAGAGAAGATACACAGATGACTAATAAGCACATGAAAATATACTTGACATCATTAGTCATCAAGGAAATACATATCAAAACTACAATGAGATGCTACTTCATACTCACTAGAATGGCGAGAATCAAAAAGAAAGACGTTACAAGTGTTTTCCAGATGTGGAGAAATGTTAACCCTCACACCCTGCTGGGGGGATTATCAAATGAGGCAGAAAACAGCCTGGCATTTCCCCAGTGGTTCAATATAGCATTATTTTATGACTAAGTAATTCCAGTCCTAGGTATATACCCAAGAGAAAAGAAAGCATGTTTACACAAAAACTTGTACACTTATGTGTAAAGGAACATTATTCATATTAGACAAACTGAAATCACCCAAGTGTCAGTTAACTGACAAATGGATAAATAAAATGTGGTGTATCCAATAGAATGTTATATAGCCATAAAAAGGAATGAAATACTGATACATGTTACAACATGGATGAACCTTGAAACATTATGCTAATTCAAAGAAGCCAATCACAAAAGACCACATATGGTTCTATTTATATTAAATGTTCAGAATATGGGCTCCTGGGTGGGTCAGTCAGGTAAGCATCCAACTTCAGCTTAGGTCATGATCTCACCGTTCGGAGTTCGAGCCCCACATCAGGCTCTGTGCTGACAGCTCACTGCTAAAAAAATGTTCAAAATAGGTAAATCTGTATATAGAGAAAGAACAATAATTGAAATGAGGGGTGAGGGAGCAATAGTTAAAGGATACGAGGTTTCTTTTGGAGGTGATTAAAATGTTCTAAAAAGTGATTGTGGTGATAGTTGCATATCTGTGAATATACTGTGAATCATTGAACTGTAAACTTTAAATAGATGAATCTTACAGTATATGCAAGCTTTATCTCAGTAAACAGTTGTTAGAAGAATAAACAGGTTTTTGCAAGGCTATTTACCAAACACTGTCTCCAAACCAAAAATTCTAATTGCTTTATAAAGATGTATATGATATCCAAAACCACTGAATTGTACACTTAAAAATGATTAAGATGGCAAATTTTATGTAATGTGAATTTTATCTCCATTTTTAAAAAGATGTATGCTTAATCTTAGGAATACAAGATAAATACAGCAATGAGAGCTCAGTGAAACAAGTCAGAAGTCAGAGAATTTTTTTTTTCTGAGTAGGCTCCATGCCCAGTGTGGGGCTTGAACTCATAACCCTGAGATCAAGAGTCACTTACTCTACCAACAGAGCCACCCAGGTGCCCCCAGAGTTCAGATCAGTTTTAATACCAGCTCTCCCGATGGAGAATCTAGAGAGTGATCAGAATCGCATGCCAGAAGTGTTCAGTGAGCACACTTGTTTGTCCAGAAGTCCCACAGAAGGCTATAAAGTGAGGGTTGGAATTATCAAATAATCGACATTTTCTCAGTGGAACCTTCCAATGTCGAAGGAAGAGACCACCTCTCTAATACGTGAAACAGTGAAACTGACTTTACTACTTGCTAAGCAAGAGAGTAATACTTACAAACACAATCTCTAAACAAAATAGAACCGATATACAAGGTTTTAAGAATTGTGGATTTCAGGGATTGGCAGATTTTCAAAACTGAAAATGTTTTACAGATTGGCTCACCTCTGGCTGTGGTGTATAGGGATTGGTGGACTGTCAGAAGCAGGAGTAGAAACTTGAACACTGGTGATTTCTGGAGTGAGGCTGTGGTTTACTGGCTGCCTTGCAGATGTGTGGGGCTGTCACTGGCTGACTTTCAGAGGCCTGGCTATTAGAGCAAAGCAGTTACTGTTTGATTGGGACAGGTTTAGACTGGTTCTGCGGTTACGTGCTTATGGCTTAGAACAAGAGTCAAAGCATAAGCAGTCTTTCTGTTTCTTGAATTTGGAGAATTCAGTTTGGAGAATTTTATTGCTGTATTTTATTATTTCTGATAGCTACATCATAATTTAACTTAAATCTTTACCCAGTAGTTCAGTCAGGAGTCATGGAAGTTTTTAACCAGGGAGTGACATGGTGACCTTTGCAAACTTGTAAGAGGTAGATTATAGAGAAGAAAAAGTCCAAGAGATAGGTTAAAAGGCTGTCAAAAAGGCTGGATTTTAGGATATCCTGAGGCCTAGCCTTCCTAAGAGGGGAAGAATGCAGACTTGATGGTGTATTCATATCTTCCTGTTCATAAGTTAGGTTTGATGTGTCTTGTCAAGATGCGAGTGTGCCATTTGCCCTCATTTGTGTTCTTGTGTTTCCTCTCCTCTCCCTACTTCTATTTCCCGCTCCCTCTCCCCCTCTCCAAGTGAAAAATTAACCTCTATGCCAAGGAAGCATTGCTAGTGAATACCAAGATTATTTTAATTAGTAAATCAAGAATAACTTAAAAAACACATTGAGGAAAAAGTGCCTTGATGTCTCACCATTTTCTTGGTTTTCTTAGATAATTAAGTTGAAAGCTGAAGCCCGGCTGGACCTGCTAAAGCAGATCGGTGTTTCTGTGGACACGTGGCTAAAGAGTGCAATGAATCAAGTAATGGAAGAACTGGAAAATGAACGATGGGCTCGCCTTCCTGCAGTGACCAATAATGGCACTTTACACTCGGTAGGATTTCTCTTCTTGGCTGTAATGGGCAGACTTTCACTGAAGGATGCTGTTCTTTGACTGTGTCACCAAACCTGATAATAGCCAAAATTTAAAAGAAAAAATAACGGTTTTGCTAGCAGTTTGGTTTCTTTTCTTTGGCCTGTCACTGAGTTAAACTTGGTGTAGGAAGAGGGAAAAAGTCATGCTTTTTATTTTTAATATGCAGTGAAGAACATATTATCACTAGTTGGTTTATTAGTGCCACTTTACCAAATTCCTTATCCCATCATGAAGTAGATATGTTTCTTGTCTGGAAGTCATGGAATAAAAATTTTAATCTAGTGTTTCTGAAGTTCTCAGAGGTTTTCTCTGAAAACTGACATCCAGAGAGTCAGAAACAATCTTAAAAAGAGAAAAGGGGGTGCCTGGATGGCTCAGTTGGTTGAACGTCCAACTCTTGGTTTCAGCTCAGGTCATGCATGATCTCACAGTTCATGAGATCAAGCCCCATGTGCCTGGGATTCTCCCTCTCCCTCTCTCTCTGCCTCTCTCTCTCTTTCTCTGTAAATAAGTAAATAAAAGAAAGGAACACTTTTAGTCTCTGGCTTAATTATTTGATTCACAAGGGCTTTCACACTCTGTTCACTGTATTTTTCATCAGGGAGACAGTGCAAGTATGGTCAGAGCTCAAGCTAGCATTTTCTTGCTTCCAGTCCAGGGCATTTTCCACTTTGATGTCATCCAGTTCAACCTTAGTTATTCATGTTGGAGATCTGAGTGCCCGAAAAGTTCATTGACTTGCCTGTTATTACTTAAGTGGATATATGATGTCTATAGCTGGTCAGACTAAAGTAATTCCTACTGCTGCTTCCTACTCATTACTCTGTCTCATCCTGTTTATTTCCTTATGGCATTTATTACGATCTTTGCTTTGTGTTCTTTGTCTATCTTCCTCTCTGGAATGTAATTACCATGTCTGTCTGATTCAGTGCACAGCAAAGTGCCTGGCACGTAGTAAGTACTCAATAAATATCTGTTGAAGGAAGAAATGAAAGAATGGACGGCTGAATAGATGGAATAGTGGCAAACTAAAAGCTAAAACTCTAATCTCACAACTTCCTACTGTATCCAAAGTGCCTCTTCAGCGCTTGTGCCCTTCAGATAAAAGGCATCCTTGCAAGAGAAATTGGCTAAAGTTTAAGAACATTCCTGAAAGTTTTGTCAATTTTTTCACATAGCATTCTGATTTTCTAATGGGAATACACTTGCGCATTTTAAAAAGATTGCGTGTGGGTGTGCATTTTAAGGAAAAGCAATCTATTGAAAGTTTATTTTTATTTGACTATTAATGGTAATCCAGCTAGAGAAAATAGGCACACATCACCTACTTGACGTCAGGGTTAGAAGAGCCTGGCCTGTTTTTAATACAATAGAGTTGTTCCATGTCATGGAATATCTCTTTCTAATGCATCTTTTGAATGTCACAGTTACCATCTACTTCAAGTAATTTTGTTGTACAGAATTTAGGATGACAGCAAATCCCAGGCACACACTTTCTTTTGGCCTCTTCAGTAGCACTGTTGGCAACCAATAAACCCATGATTTCTCTTGGACTAGTATCTTTTCTAACTAAATCAACTGGGCAGGCACTTATCCCCTCCCTGTGTGCCTACTTCCTGAGCAAATTGGAGATGAACAAGAATTGGTCTCCCTCCTTGAAGAGCTTGCAAGCTGGTAGAGCAGACAGACCTCAGACCTTTATAGATCTTAGTGATCCATGGCAGTGTATGACTGGGTTCCTCTGTGGCAAACTTGAAACGCCTACTTCTAACTCATCAACACACCTGGGAAAAAACCCTTCTCTCCGTGTTTCAGAGAGAAAGTTAAGTTAAATGATCTAAGCTCCCCTCCAACTCCAAAATCTTATGATTTTGTGAAATGCTATTAAAAAAGTTTAATGCCAGGTGGAAAAATAGGAAAGACGTTTGCCCCATGAAGGAACTGTCAGTTGAGATAGTCCTTGAAGAATTTTAACATGAGATAAAGAAGGGCTTCTGAGTGTGAAGGAAGGAAATGAAGAAGATATTCCTAGTACAGTCTGTCAGTGAGTAGTACATTCTGGTAGTAAGTGTTGAATAAATTCGGTGTTTTTGAGAACTGTCCAAAGACATGAGCTCATCTAGAAACATCACGTTTTCTGCGAAGAGAACATTTTGCAATCCTAACCCATTCTTCCTTACCTCTAGTCAGTATCATGGAGCTTGTGTCATCCTGCTTTCAGCTGAGGCATATATTTTGTGGAAGCTCCACTAACAGTCCAGTAGTGCCCCCTTTATCCATGGTGTCACTTTTCTTGGTTTCAGTTACCATGGTCAGCCATGGAAGCAACTATCTAGATGCAGATGATCCTCCTGACCTATTGTCAGAAGGTCAGTGGTAGCTTAACGCTGCGTTACAATGCCTACATCATTCACCTCACTTCATCTTGTCACGTAGGCATTTTATCTCACATCACCACAGGAAGAAGGGTAAGTACAGTACAATAAGATATTTTGAGAGAGAGAGACCACGTTCACAAACTTTTATTACAGTATATTATTGTAACTTATGTGTTATTACTATTGTTATTTATCTCTTACTGGGCCTGATTTATAAATTAAACTGTAGCACAGGTATGTATGTGTAGGAAAAAACATAGTCTGTAGGGTGTGGCCCTACTGGTACTTCTATCAGTTCAAACATCCACTTGCGGTCTTGGAACATATCTCCTGCTGATAAGGAAGGGAGGCTACTGTATAAATAAAGGAGAGATGTGGGCACAAAACAGCTTAATGAAGTCCCAGTATTTATTTAACCTGCTTTTAAATGACTGCACTGAAGTAATTTAGAAGAAGTTGTATCTCTTCTCTTCACACTGGCAGCTGCTGGCTAGGATCATGAAGCAGAAATACACATCTGGGGACCAAATTATTTCTTCCATTATAGATGCCAACAAAAGCATTAGTCATCAAGTTTAGAGTTCCCTTCCATCGGGAAAACATGGTTAATTTTAATGTTACACATTAACAGTGTAAAGGGCCTTATTAGAAGATAAATGTTTTTAAAATATATAGTCTTTTTACCTTACAGAATAAGGAACTATACTTTCTTGAGTATTAACTTTTTGCCTTCTATATTATGCTGTGGTACAGATAGAGGGTTGGGAAGAAACATAGAAAAAGAATCACAGAATACAGCAATATTTTTTAATGGAGAACAGTCTGTTAATATAGCTACTCAGCTGATGGTAAACTAGAGCTCATACATAACCTCTTATGGTTAGATTGCTACCAGTAGCCCAGTCAGCCTTTCTGCCAGTCATTCCTCCCTTCTCTTATTTTCCTTTCTTCTCTTACTCAAAAACCCATACTCAGTTTAATTTTGAAGTTATATTAATTTTAGAATAGAAAAAGTTATAAAACTGGATTAGAAAAAAATTAGAAAGTTAGGTAGAGGAAAAAAATGACCCCAAACTCCGTCCTTATGACACCACTGTTAGCAACTTGATGTAATTCTGTCCTCTTTCTATTCTTTTTTTAAACATATTTGTCATAATAAAGTTAATTTTGTATATTTTTCCATCTAGCATTCCATTTTGCTGGACAGTCTTCATAATCTTTCTTTTCATGTCTGTGTAGTATTCCCTCAGGAAGGCATACCATAATTCACTTAACTGCTCTCTTATAGGTTCAATATTTAGATTGCTTCTAGATATTATAAATAAATAATACTCTGAAAGAGTGTCTCTGAAAGAGATATTTGTGTACATACTTCTTTTTTCCATAGTGGGAATAGATTTCTATAATACAGATTCTTAGAAGTAGAATTCATAGGTTAGAGATTTATAGTTCTTTGTTTAAGGTTGGGTTTTGTTTTTTTCCCCCTAGATTCTCAAACTATAGCTGACAGTGTTTACATGACTTCCTTATCTTCAGCCATTTCCCCTATCATTTCTCCTATATAACAGACATCCTGGCATCCACTTTGTTGTGCAACCTCCCTAAGAGCGTGAGCATTTTGCAGAGTTGCATAGAAATAAATTCTGACTTTCCTCATTATGAAGACCATGCTGAATAATGTGTTTGAAAGGCAAGGAAATTAAATGTTTTTAAACATCAGGATGGTAGTTTAGTTCTCATCTGCCTCGTTAAATGCCTAATAGTCTTTGCAGTATAATGGGTTTTGTTTTTGAAATATGAAAATCTGTTTGTTGGCTTGTCCTGATCCCAAAGAAAAGAAACAATGGCTTTTTGTAATGAAATAAATGTAAACAGTAGAAAATAATAGCATACACCTGCAAAAATTTTTAGGCACTTCCGTATTTACAGTTTTTCCAAGTGGTTAGTGGTCTTGTTATTGGATTAAACTCCAAACCCAAATAGGCCACACTATTATTGAAACTGACATTTCATATTTTCAGTAGGATCAATTTAATTCAATTCAGTAAGCATGTGTGGAGCCTGCACGCCTCATGAGACCCTTTGCTAAGTGCTGGGAGTTACAAACTGAGTATAATGTCTGCTGAGTTTGTATCCACAGATTGAGAGAACCAGTCTCACTAACAGCCAAGACCAAAAGATGGGCATTGAAAAGATGTGGAGAATTTCAGTTCTAAGAGAAGTATCTCCAGCTGTATTGTGTTCTTTAATTTTCTGCATACCCATAACAACAAGTAAAGTACCTGACACAAATCCATATACGTAGTACATGTTCAAAAATACTAATCCACACCTGAAGATAAAGCAGTCTAATTCCACCAACTGACCTTAAAATACTATTAAAAAGAGGAAGTTCACAAAAAAGCATCTCTACTGTACCAGGTACTATGTTAGGCACATTCATACATTATTTCAATTAATGATCACAATGGTCCTGAATGTATTTACAGATGAGAAGACAGACTTGGAAGAATTAAATATCTCCCAGTGGCACACAGCTAGTAAGTGGAGAGAGCTAGATTTGAACCTGCATATGTCTGC